GTAAATCTAAAGTAACTTAATAAATTCAAAGAAATTATAGAAAGTATTAAATATCAAATTAGTGGAATACAAAAAAACACTTTGTCGTAAACTGAGGAAGTGGTGAAGCAGTAATCTCAGTTTCAACCTTTAGTAATAAAATCACAAAAATCTAACTAATGTTTATGAAACGTTCCAATATCGTTGATGATCCGCCTACGATTTCTTCAATCAGAGAAGACAGAATGGAGGCTCCAAGATGAGACGGCGAAGAAGTTGATCAGTCCTCTAGAAAACCAGGTTAGATAAGCCCGAAACTGTTCTCGTCGCTGTATTCACCATGAAAAATAACATAATCTAATTTCAAAATATTTTGCACTTGTGGCTCAAGTTTTTCTTAAGTAATGTTCATGTCACAACTGTCTTGTTCATTTCAATAATGATATTCTAGTTATTAATAACTAAAGAAGTTATTGCTAATGTGCAATTAAAATTGCTAATGCACAATTAACATAAAATATGAGAAACTTTACCAACCTTCCACTTCTTCCCAACTAGCAGATTTTGATGGTCTAACACGTTTCTCTCTATCAAAGGTTGGCAGCGCAACCCGTTTATTTTTATTTGCTCATATTTCAAGAAAGTAAAACCACAAAATGAATTCTCAAATAACATTTTTTTACAATCTTCTCTTAACTTAAGAATAATGAACAACATATGATACATTTAATTTCGTGGAGTAAACGCAATCCAATGACAGAATTCTTTTAAAACATATTCATGTCCTTACAGATAATTCAAATAATTTTAATATAGAATGACAACACATACTTGATTGCATTCTGAATATCATCAATGCTATCATTTATATATGTGAAACTATTTCTCATAATTATTTTTAAATCTGATCATAACGAAGCATATGAAAAAATACACCACATGTAACTAATGCATTTTCTTTAAGCCTCAAAGCATCGTTGATTATGAAGAATTTTCTATTCCTTATTCATTTAAGTATCAAATAAGGTGTCATGTAATGATACCGCATCTATGATATAAACGAACTTAAAACGAGTTATCATTTTTTATAATTCTCTGTTATCATCAATCCAGGAGCCGTTGCAACCATGTAACTGTATGAAGTAGTTTAAGTTATCAATATATTTTTGGTGAATAGGCTATCTTTGTATAACACTAAACACTTTCTTTAAAAAAATTTCTTTTGCAAAAACAATATAACAATATCCA